TGGACCCGCAATTACTTTGTGCTGTCAATGGAAAACGAAATGTTCAAAGTTGTACAAGATAAGAACAGCCTTCCTAACTTGTCTCTACTCAAAGCGCAAAACTACGATCCTTTTTGTATGAATGCCAAGTATCACGTTCAAGCAAGTTGCAACACTTGGATGCTGTGGACATGTATCGAGAATATCGCAAGTCCGGTGGAGCTTCTGTGGGACCCTAGGACCGACGTGCTCGTAACCCTTCCTTTTTTTGTGGCTGTGCCGCGCGTTCCTCGCCCAATTTACACGACCACGTGGGGTTACGCTATCGGGTGTGCGTCGGGAGAATATAAGGTGGTCAGATGTCGTGTGTTTGAGTATTTTCGTTCCAACCGCGAAGTCCACGCGGAGCTGTTCTCACTCGAAACTTGTTCGTGGAAGGAAATTCCGTATCCCCATGATCCCCAGTTCGGAACCTTTCAGCATCCTTCGCTTCACATCAATGGCTTTTATTATTGGCTAGCAGAGCACACCACCAAACGTTATCTTGCTGTTATTTCGTTCGACTTTGGTAATGAGGAGTTTCCTCATGCTCTCATCCCTATGCCGGAGAGCAAAATGCTCGGGAAAATCATGCTTGGCTGTGTTTCTCTTGCCGAGGTTCATGGGTCGTTGGCCGCTATTGTTTTTGATAAAAGTAGTAATATTGATGATTGTCCACGACCACGGCCGAGAAAGAATAGGATGAACACTAGTGAAAAAGCTGCTGCTGAGCCTTTTATTTTCGAGATATGGGTATGGAATGACGGCATCTGGTCTTATGAATCCAAACACACTGTCGTCACTCCTCATCCTTATGCAGGTGTTGTTTATAGGAGGGTCGTGGGCCTCTACATGGATCATAAAGCATTTCTTCAGGACTCAGCGGGTTACCTATGGCTTTATGATTGCAAGACGGAAGATTTGGAGCTTTTCGGCGGCATCCGTGACGATACTTGTGCTCTGGTAGTCTACCCTTATGTGTGACTGTGAGAGTGATCATCTGTATATCATTTTTTTGCTTCTGACCAGTTAGTTTCTACTAGTTAATACAACTGGTGATTCTTTCTCATTTTCTAAGAATCTTTGCTCATCCACTTTAGTTTTAATTTTATTTTCTTTCATTAGTGATCTAAAAAATTAAACTACCCCTTTTATTTTATTCTAACTAATACAAAGTAATCACCATTTATACCACACATCTCATGATATTTTGTAATTTTCTATTTGATGCATTGAGGGCTGAGCACGGGACTCGAAGATTACCGAACCGTTCCGAAAACCGAACCGAATTCATCCCGAACCGAAAAATATCTGTTGACCGTTTGACTTTATCCGAACCGAACCATATCTAAAAAATATTTGGTACGGTTCTGGAGATTTGTAGATAAAATTCATATATTTCAGGACTATGACCATAAATTATCATATATTATATTTAAAATTGAATTGCAAAAATCCTCCACTATTGAATATTAATATAATTAAATAATTAACAATAAATTATTTATTTTCTTACTGCATGTAAGGCATTAGTTTGAAGAAAATTAAATTATTTTACTTTTTCTATCACAAATTTTGGTAATAAACATGTGTATAATTGTATATGTTTCATGTGTATAATTGTATATGTTGATGTAAATTTTATACCCAACATTTATATTCTATCAGATTGCTTTGAGATGGCTTATGGAATATGGACCATGAATTGGAAATGGAGTTCAAGTTTGTATGGGGTTCTTGTTTCACGAAGAATATGAAAATTCGCGTTATTGTTTTTTGTTTTATAACTCGTTGGGGACTTGTATGAAACCATACACTTATTTTTTGCCATTTTGAACTTTTACTTGTGAATTATGTGTCTTAGTACTTAATAGCACTTGATCTACAATTTTTTTAATTATTTAAACTACTTAATATGATGAAGTGTTTATGAATGTTGGATTTTTTTTTTTCTGAAGCATATAAAAATTAAAATATAAGTAGATAGTCAAATACCGAACCGAACCAAATCGAACCGAACCATTCCGATAGTCCCGAATACCGAACCGAATCGAACCGAATAATGAAAATCTCCGAACCGAACTGTCCCGATTTTTTGGTACGGTTCCGAAAATCGAATTAGCGATCTCCGAATTTTGGTACGGTTCTGGAGATTTGTCGATCTCCGAACCGTACCGACTCATGCTCAGCCCTATTGCCACATACGGTTATTACACTATACAACCACCACAACAACAACAACACAATAATAATAATAATAATAATAATAATAATAATAATAATAATAATAATAATAATAATAATAATAATAATAATAATAATAAGCTTTATGTGTTTTTCGATAACAGTTAATTTACGTATAAATAGATTGAAATCATAATGTTTTCCTTTTATACATGTAATATGAGTTTAGTATCGTATATCGCCAAAATGTAATTAATTTGGAGAAAAATAATTATATATAAAATAAAAGCTAACAAATCTATTATTATATAAAGAGCTAACCTAAATAATTCTAAAATAGTAAATAAAAATTATTTGGAAAGCCCGCTTAAAAACTTACTAAGTATGGTAATTTTCTTTTGAAAATTTTTATTTGCCGGTAAGTGGACACTCTTTAAATTTTTTTGAAAATTTTCATGCAGTGGATGATTTGTTGTCCCGATTTTCCATCCCAATTTTGTGGAAAAGAATTGAATTGAATTGATCCATCCCAAATTTCAGATAAGATGCCATAGAGAATTAATAGGACACGGACCTTTCTTTATCCAACCGAAAATCATAACTTCTGTGGAAAAGAATTGATCGTGATTTGGTTATTTAACAATGCCATGATAAATAGTATTAGTTAACAATGCCAATGCCATGATAAATATTTGATTGGTTCTTTAATATATTAGTTAACAATGCCATGATAAATATTAATTAATATATTAATTATTGAAATCGAGGAAATATTAGTTTATAAGATAAGATTTAAAATCACGTGTTAATCATGTTGATATTTGTCAGATTAATCGAATATTATCTAAAGTCCCATTAATGTCTATCATGTAGAGTTGACGGTTTTGCTATGAAGCCAACAGTTGGCTCTATAATGGAGTCAACCTTCCATTTACAACAAATAAACCTATCATATTAATAAAATTATATTAGTGTTATTTAAGTAATCAGATAATATAGTAGGTATATTTGTTGTATATAGAAGGTTGACTTCATAGAAAAACCGGTAGAATTAATGTCTATCATGTAGAGATTTGTTAAAGCAAAACTCTAACTTGCAAACTAACAATGTCAAGATATATATTAACTTGTGTCTACAATTTGGTTTATCAAAATTTCAAAACTCAATAACAACAAATTTATATTAATTAATCTGATAATAAAAATCATAATGATAATAATTATTGGATTTGATATATGGTTTATTAGTAGAAAATATTTTAAAACCGCTTTAATGTCTATCATAGTATCATGTAGACATTCATTAATTTAAAACCATTATTTGCCAACTAACAATGTCATGATAAATATTAGTTAATATACTAACTATTGAAATTGAAGAAATATTAGTTTATAAGATAAGATTTAAAATCCCGTGTTATGGGATAGTAAATGAATTTGAATCTATACTTATATTAAAAGGAAACCTATTTACTAAATATAGTAGGTAGAAAAGTCAACTTTAATTAATGAACTTCTAAATTTATCAAGTAGTAATTAATGCATTTATAATTTTAATCAAGTTTCTTATTTTACATATTGTTTTTAATCCTTCTTATCTTGACATTAAAAAATCCTATAAAATGGGGTGAGCAAAAACAATCAAAAGTCTGTTTCTAAAAACTACAAATCAATATTACGATTTTGAGTAATACA